TGAAGTAAAATCATCAAATTATTATTACTTTTTTGTCCATCGATTCATCAAATTAGGTTGAAAAGAATAACATGAAACAAATATGACATCAACAACGCCTCAAAGATGAAATTCAAGATCAAAATTTACCATTTTTTGTATATATGGTACTATGTTGAATTATTTTTCGTTTATAGAAATTAATTTTTTGACTTTGGTGCAATAAACTAAAAGTTGGATGACTATCCGTGAAACTAATTTGACTATGCCTACTTTATCAAGTTATTTAAGTGCTAGATATGGAGTTCATGTACAAACAAAAGGTTTAATACAGTTTAGGATACATGTTCTCCTCGTAATCAGTTCATTTAATATGTACATATTATTATATTAGAATGCAATAACTCTAGAGAGCTAAAATTTCAAATTCAAGATATCAAATCTTGAATTCGTCGTGAAATATATAGGGTATATATACTTCTTACCAATGAATAGTGATATTATACTTGCTATTATTATGGACATGAACAATAAGAGTAGATCCTTTGTTGGCATAGATGGTCGGACCAGGAAATTTGCCATTCACAGTTAGAATTTTCTTTGATTTGCAAAGTCTTTCGATCGAAGTTTCTTTAACCTGCAACGCAACGTTTGTTCATGTACAACATGTATGTATGTATGTATGTACAAATTATTAGTTATCGTACCTAGTAACTTAAAATATATAAAATTCCAAATCAATAAATTTCAAACTCTAAGAAAATTGCAAGTTGATACTTACAATGAAATGATAGTGGTTGGCAAAAGCTACGTTGGCAAGAAGTAGTATGAGAAATAAAGTATATGTTTTCATAGCCATCTTTTTTGAAGACTCAAATTATTATTAACTCAGCTTGATCAAGGAATTTATAATGGTGGTGGGAGTAGTTAAATTAAAGAAGTAATTAATGAAAAGTAGACAACAAATTAAAGGATTAATTAAATGTTGCACATTAGAAATAGAATCAAGAAAATGTTAAGGTCTCTACAAATAATGAAGTATTAGGACTTTTCTTAGTATAGAAACTACGTTTTAGGTATGATACTTTTAGAGATTGATGGAGCCAGAATTTTTAGTTTATGGATTTTGAAACACGTATACTTGTTTATATTTATCAGGTTTTTTGATAGATTACTCATATGTATTAGATAAATTTGTCAATAAATACAGGGCTTGAAGGTTCAAGCTCATGAGTCTTTCCGAACTCATAACTGCAGTATTGGCTCCTTTCCTGAATACTATCATGCTGGTCAAACACATGAGGAAATTCTTTTTTTCATGATGGGTGCAGGTAAGATTCGAACTCAGTACCTCTATCTGCTTTTGATATCAAGTGACATATGTGACCATTCTAAGTTGTGATCCACGTGGTAGTATTTGGTTTAATACAAAAAAATTGCTAATTTCTAATTAGTCAATAACGTTTTCAACAAATTTTTCTCAGAAAATTCCTTATTGCCGAGTACCCAAATATTAAAGAAACGTCTGATAGAAATTAGTGAACTCTTGGTAGACTCATTTCATTTTTGAAATTATGCATAGATATTTACTATTTATTGATTTAAATAAATTTGACACATAAATTTATATTTTGTGTCGAAAGTACTAAATTCAGATGAACTTGATCGATGCTCCAAATTAGGGGTGTACAAAATCGAACCAAAAACCGAACCGAACCAAACCAAACCGTAAATCAAATCAAATCGGAAAAAAAACCTGACTAGTGGTTTGGTTTAACTTGGTTTGGTATTGAAAAAAAAAAACCCGACTATATTTGGGTTGATTTGGTTTTAACTAAAAAAAAAACAACCCGAGACCAAACCAACCCGACATTATATATGTAATTTTAAAATTTTATTTTATACATAAAAATATTTACTTTGATATAATTTTAAAATATTTCTTATACTATTTCATAGTTTTTATCTTTTAATATATTATTTCAAGTTTAAAACTTATAATTCGGAATGGTCCAATAAATATTATAGTTCATAGATGTTGATAATTATAATAAAACTTAATTCAAAATCAAATTAATACTAATGCAAAAAGAAAATCAATTCAACACTAAGAATGACAATAATATTGAATATTTGTTCTTTAGTTTTACATTGGTTTAGACAATTAAAATACATCATCTAATTTTAATTTTCCTTAAATATTTGGTAATGTAACTAATACTTATTAAACTTATTTTAGCATGATTTAGTACTTTTAAATTATGATCATTTTCATTATGACTTTGCAATATTTATTTTATATGATGATTTCATTATTATTTTTTATTGAATATTCTAGTGTCATCAGTACTCATTTCATATTTTGTGTTATTTTCTTAAGAAACACCTTTGATAATTGTATTTTGGTTGGACTAAAGAAATATTTGGAGCACAAGTTAATTATATGTTTGTATGCAAATTTTATCGAAAAAATCCGAGATTTATTAGTTTAGTTTGGTTTGATTTATAAATTTAAAGATTCGACACAATGGTTTGGTTTGGTATTTGAAAAATCTGAACCAACCCGAGGTTGAAAAACTCGAAAAAATCCAAATTTTATTAGTTTGGTTTGGTTTATAAATTTAAATTTTTTATACAAATAGTTTGATTTGATATTTAAAAAACCCGAACCAACTCGGTCACGTACACCCCTACTCCAAACATTGCATCTACCTCTAATTTTGATCGACTATATATCCAATAGCCATGTATAAAACCATGTGTTTTTGTCAACTATGGTTAAGATTATTTTTCAAAGTTACCTCTAAGAATAGAAACAAATTATATCTAAAGAATTTTAAACTGATCATATGTAACCTTCATATATAGTATTTCTTATTTTTATTGCTACTTATATCCTTTCCCTTTTTTTATTTTATTTTTCTAATAAAGGAGAGCTTGATAGTCAACTCTGTAAAAAAAGAATTTCTCTATTTGGCATTTTCCTTTGTTTTATGTTTGTGTAAATAAGAATTCATTTCATTCTTGAATTTGTTCCTTATAATAGACTTTCATAATTACTTTTGCTTCACTAATACTAACGACTTTTCTATATTATTATTATTTTTTGCTAGATTTGTTCAGCTTATCTTATACTACTAGAAATAAAATAAATTCCTAATACTGCATGAATACACCTTCAAAAAGCATTTATTGGTATATATGCCAGATAAACAAAGGATGGGTTGAATATTCTTAATTTCTTGCCATTAAATGTTGTCACAATTTACTTTTTATACAACTTAATTATATACAAGTATGATTAAAGAATGTCTTGAAGGGGTTTCAAAAACTTTCAATTGCCATATATTTTATGGATTTGATATGTGAATTCAATTTAAAGAAAATATCCCTAATATATCCAGGATTTGAATCTGGGAGTTCTGATTAAGAGAGAAACAACCTCATCCATTATTGATGGTTTCTTTGTAGCAAACGTTTGGCCATAGATTTTTAAATATTCTTAAGAAATTAGTTGGATGAAGTTTCAATACGTGCTTGATCATAATCTTTGAAAACAAATATTTTACCTTTTATATATATAAAAAAAACCATGAAACATAATTTACACAATTAATCTATTAGATATATACGTATAGTATTATTTTTTGTCAACCTTTTTCCCTCATTGCAAAAGAATATAACTTCTTTGTTGTGTTTAATCGAAATTAAAAAGGTAGATTGCTTATTCTGTTGCAATTTTTCACGATAAGTATTAAAATATATTAGAAAATTAACATCAACTAAAAATAGCCTATGGTAAATAAATTTGTGAGGGACAAACACGAAAATAAAACATACTACTACAAAAAAAAAAAAAAAAATTATTTTCGTCACAATTCATATGGTATTTTTTCGTCTTTTTTTTAATCCAGAAAAAATGATATTTTTTTATATTTAATATGAATTAAATTTTAAGTTTTTTTATTTTATTTTTAATTGAAATGATGGAATAACTTTGACATGGGTGAGTATGGTATGATATTTAAATTTTTTGATCGATAGCTACGGTTTCTGATTTTTAAAAATAATATATTATTACTATACCAAATTAATTCAGTATGATTAGGATATTTTTAAATTAGATATTAATATTATTCTGATTGGTAGATTGATAATCATAATTTGTTCGACTTCACCTTATATATAATATAAATATAATCATATAATAAGGAATATGACTTGTGTTTTTTTTTAGAAACGTTTCAATTATATCATATTAACACCTTAAACATGTAGAAATATTTCCGTGATTATAGGATGGATTTGGCGGATGATTATGCTTAACAATTTTGATTTATTGGATATCAACTTTTAAATACACTAATATGCTAACCAATCAATAAGCTAGGTATTTGATATCAGATTAATAATTATCGAGTGATAATTGTGCAGTATATTGACTCAATCATTACATGCTCCTTTGTTTCACTTTTACTCATCAATATATCGATTTTCTATCAAATAAAATAATTTTTCTAGCTTTACTTATGTTGGTAATTATGTAATTGTAAATCACAATGAAAAATATACGAGAATCTAAATTTTGAGGATGTATACACATAAGTATTTAGTATATAACAAATATATTTACGGTATCAACCAAAAATATATATTACTTATGATAAAAACATAACTATGATAATTTTTAACAGATTAACAATGCACTCAATAAGAAAATAGAGTAATCTATTCCCACATCATAAACCATAAACAATACTCTAATATTTAATATGTTCATCAATCGTTAATTTAATAATTCAATACTAATTAGTTAATAAATTAATTTTGCGATTGACTTATCTACTCAAATGTGAAGTGCACATGTGTCAACTCCTTATCCCCATAAACCATAAGATAACAGGCCATCCTTCACCGGAAATAAGAGATAATCTTATCCCTTCATCACCGTCGATCTCTACTCCCCTTTAATCTCAACCGTCCATTACCCTCCATAATCCCTTTTCTCATTTCTCACTCTCAAATCACTACTCTCACTTTTCTCGACCATAGAGATTTGAATTTTCATCAATGGCGGCTCTACAACAAACTCCGATAACTTTCCAATCCCGTTCACCGCCGCCGACTCAACTCATCACCGGAACCGTCGCAAAGCTCTCCTTCTCCGGCGGCCTCAAGCTCCCAAAACTCACTCTCAAACTCCGATCCAAACGCACGTCCCGCCGCGGCCGCGGCGGTGGTGCTCTCGGAGCAAAAATGGCAGATTCCGCGGCCGGTAGCTACGCGAACGCTCTCGCCGACGTAGCTAAATCCAACGAAACACTAGAACAAACCACCGCAGATCTCGAAAAGATCGAGAAAATCTTCGACGACGATGCGGTTTACGATTTCTTCGTAAGCCCTATCGTAAGCGAAGAGAAGAAACGTGAACTTGTAGACGAGATCGTTTCATCTACAGGCATTCAACCACACGTTGCGAATTTTCTCAACATCCTTGTCGATATGAAGAGAATTGAATTAATCAAAGATATTGTTAAAGAGTTTGAGAAAGTTTACAATACCTTGACGGATACTGAACTTGCTGTGGTGACTTCAGTGGTGACACTGGAATCGCAACATTTAGCACAGATCGCAAAAGGAGTTCAACGATTAACCGGAGCGAAAAATGTGAGAATCAAAACAGTGATTGATGAATCTCTTGTTGCTGGATTTACAATAAGGTATGGAAGTTCAGGATCCAAATTGATTGATATGAGTGTGAAGAAACAACTTGAAGATATTGCTGCACAGCTTGAAATTGGGGATATTCAATTAGCTGTATAATTAATTGTTCTGTTTTTCTTAATTTTAATAATTACTACTCAATGATTATTTTTGTAATATATAATTTTGCGTAAAACATAATACTATTCTCAATTTTTGGATGAATGTAAATTAGTTGCTGTATGCAAATTCAGATCGATTAAATACCTATAACAGAAAAAAATTGATAAAATTGAGCTATTATATTTTATGATCTTAGATATGTTTACAAAATTTACATCATGCACATATTTCATGAGTTTCCAAATGTCTTCACGAGCAATAGTTGAAAGCTCGTATGAATCTCAAAAATAAATTTCGTATTTGGAGTTGATTTTTCTAATCTTTAAAGTTAAATTAAATTGAAATAGAATATTTTAAAATCAAAATTTCAAATGATTGGATTTTATATGAAAATTATTATAGATTTTACTCCTAATTATGTCAATGAAAAAACATAGGAAAAATTGTATAAAATAGCAAATTTTGATTTAATTATAACCCGTAGCAAACAGTTGTCATTCGCCTCTCTCCCTAAATATCTCGCTCGCCACTCTCCATTTCTCGCTGCCAGTTTCTTCCTCGTCTCTCTCACTTTATACAAGCACAAATGTATAAAATGTGTTTGTGTTTGTATAAAGCGAGAAAAAAACTATATATATACATATGATCTTTTCATTTGCCTCTTCCATAGAGAATCACGTTCGCCACTCTCACTTTTATACAAATACAAATGTATAAATTGTGTTTGTGTTTGTATAAAACGAGATAAAATTGTATATACAAATACAAATACATATATTTTCGTTCTATACACTTATAATTATACAAATATAGATTTTTTCATGTCCAGTTTTCTTTTATCTTTCTCTCTTTCTCGCTTTATACAAACATAAATTATACAATTGATTCTTTTGTATATGTATACATATTAATAGTCATAACAAACATAAAATTTGTTATGGAGCACAATTATATAAACTATAATTATATCATATAAATATAATTTTTATATTTGCTAAACGTAAAAATTACTCAAAAACATATTGTAACATATTAATCAAATTTACTCAAATGAAAAACAACGGTGGAAATAACATTTAAGAGCTCTTTAAAGTTCAAACAACATTGAATTATTTTACGCTCAATCCTAAAAATCTGTTAAGACAATTCTTTTTTAACTAATAAAAAGTCACATCTTCACTAAGAAAGCATTGACAGTCTTGGTGTTGACACCCAATTTTGGCATAGCATTTTTAAAATTCGTAACTTTTAAGTTTTATTTATTTAATAGTTCAAAATAATTTTTTTTATAATTTTATATAAGTTTATCGATAACTATCCTTATTTATCAAAATTTAGGATTTTTTATCAGTTAAGTTTAAAATTGCATTTTTACATGTCATTAGTTGCGTTAATTATATATTTTTTAATATTCATTTCATTTGTTACATTTGCTAATATTCATTTTGATATATTTGCACAGTATAAAAATTCATTTAAAATTTATATATACAGATTGATCGATGAATTTGGGCCACAATCTTAGGCCCATGATTTGAGCCCATTGTATTATAACTCCCTATTTAAGTAAATTTTAGGTCAAAATAAGGGGGTGAATAATATTTTTAGACCAAGTGGTGGAAATATTTTTCAAGATAGGGTAAAAACCCTAAGATTTTATTTACTCTCATATTCTCTTAGCCGCCACCACCCAAAACCCCAATTAATAGACCATCAATTTGGCCGGAAATGGAGTTTCTCTCCAAACAAACTCAAAGCTCCGACCAGCGAGCTAAACCAGACCACTTTCCATCGCCGCCAGTCCCATTCCCTTTCCCCTTTCACGTTTTCTTCTCTTTTTTTTATGCAGGTATTTTGGCTCGATGGTGAACGACAATCAGTCCTCGAGCTCCCAAACCAGCAAATCAACAAATAACAACAATAATGGTTCCATTTTCGGCCGACTCCATGAACTCCGGCGAGCTCCTGAGAAACTAGAGACAACCAGGCGAGTTACAAGCTCCGGCGAAACCGAACTCCATCACCGCTAGCCTTCACAGATCCACGAACCAGTTACAACATCAACATAGCTCCACCAACGAGCTTCATCTCCATATTTCCAGTAACAACTCTTAGACCGCCGGAGAACACCAACAAACTCCATCTTCAATAATGGTAAATTTAGATCTACCTTTTTTAATTTTATTTTTGCGTTTGGATTAATACTTAGGTACACAATCTTCTCATTTTTAATCGTCTTGCATTTTTTTTTTTTTTTTTTTTTGAACGAGCCGTATTTTTGTCAAGATCTTTAAATGTTGTTTACCTTCTCTATCTATTATAATAAGTGTTTAGCCTTATTTACTTATTGATGCTTTATTTTTGTTTATATTTAGTTGCTGTTGATTTTTTATTTGTTTATTTATTTTTTATGCTTTCTAAAATGCCTCCAGCAAGTTCCATTAATATTATTTTAAGCTAGTTATGTTGTTACTTGGTTATTGTTATTGTTTTGTTGTTTGTTATCATTTAGTCATTTATATACTATTTTATTTCATCAATATTTCTTTTATATGTAATTGTGGTGGTGTGTTACTATTAATTTCTTTTATTTTTGATGCCACTGTTTCTATGGTCTCTCTCTAACCGTGATTATTAATTATTATTTATGTTTAAGTTTAATCATTTTAATTGTTTGTTAAAGACATCTCATAATTTTCGTTTCTTTTGAAAATATCCCATTAGTAATCTAGGTGTGTGTGTAGTCGTGTGTTTACTGTTTAATAACTGTTACTTTTAATATAGGTTGATCATTTAATTCTATCTTTAATTTTAATTTAACCAAGAATTCATTAATGTTTTATTTGATATTACATTTCTTAAATTTGATTTATTTTTGTTTTGTTGTGTTGCTAAAGAGATTTACATACATACATGTTAAAATTGGCCAATGAGAAAATCTCTCCGTCGATTTTGGAGGCCTCCACATTTTAAAAGACGGAAATTTAGTTTAAGTTTATATAAATTTTATGTTAAAATTGGCCAATGAAAAAATCTCTTCGTCGATTTTGGAGGCCTTCCCATATTAAAAGACGGAAATTTAGTTTAAGTTTATATATTTTATTTGTTAAAAATGGCCAATGAAAAAATCTCTCCGTTGGTTTTGGGAGGCCTTCACATTATAAAAGACGGAAATTTAGTTTAAGTTTATATTTTTTGTAAGTTAAAATGGCCGATGAAGAAATTACCGTCGATTTCCAAGGCCTTCCATGTTAGTAAGACGGATTTTTATTTTAAGTCGTTATTTATTTCATTTATTTTTATTTTTATTTATTTACTATTAACACTTTTACTAAGTGTGTTTACAGGTACCCCGGAGATGCTCCCATTGAAGCTATTCGAATTAAGTTAGAATTATACTGTTCTTTATTATTGTATATTATTGACGATAGGCAAATTTAGGCCGATTCTTATATTATTGTTTTATCATATTACTTGTGTACATTGCATGTTTATTATACTTGTTCAATATTTTATCCTACTCCTCAATTTGAAAAAATGAACTCAGTCGGGACCCATAATTTTGGATTTCGAAGGATGCCTAACACCTTCCCTTCGGAATAATTTGAACCCCTTAACTAGAATCTTGGTTTCGTAGATCACTTAATGGTTTTCTAGTTCTTTCCTAAAATTAGGTAGCGACTTCTTTAAATTTTGTTTATTCTTAAAATTCTTTTAAAATTGAATCAATTGATTATTTTTTAGTCACCGCGACATTTTGCCTTATTTGAATACAGTAGGGATGTAAACACTTGGTAGGAATTAGGGGTGTGAAAAAATTTAACCGATCAATAAATTGAATTGAAAAAGTATTATTGGTTTAATTTATTGCTATTAGGTTATTGGGTTAATGTTTTTTTAATGGTTTTATGAAAAAAAATTTATTGGGTTATTGGTTCGATATTGATTTTTAATATTTGGTTATTCGTTAAACCAATAACCCATTAAGACCATAGTAATTTACTACTTTTACCTATACATAAATATTAAATATTAATCTCAAAAATTTACTAGTTATGTCTTTGTCATTTATCCTTCAATTCATACTTCATTGTGACTTTGAGTTAACAACTTCACATTATACAAACCGTCAAAAACTAAAGTAACAATCATATTCCTCTTAATTTCTCCTTGTGTTACACATGTATATTTATTTTTATGTTTGTTATTATTGTTTCTATTTTATGAGCACTTGTAAAGTTACATTATTGTCTTGTCGCGTCAAATTTATTAGAGAAGAAATATATTTATTTTATAGGGAAAAGGGTCAAAAATACCCCTCAACTTTGTTTTATTAGTTGACTTTACCCTCGCCGTTAAAATGAAGTTAATTTTTACCTCTCCCGTTACTAATTTCACCAAATTTATCCCTCAATTGGATGGAAAACCCAAATCAATTAAAAATTACCCAATTTCAATTAAATAACCCATTTTTTTTTCTCTTTTTAATTCGAACCCGACCCATTTATACCAAATTAAAACCCCAAATCAAGCTCTGGCAATCCCTATTCATTTTCTCCGTTTTTCAGCGAAACACCACCAAAACAACCTCCAAACGACCACCTGAAACCACCACTCAAAACCCCCAAAAACCAGAAACGACATCAAGCAGAAAACATTAACAACAAACCCATTTTCCTCTACTTTCCGGTGACGACAACAAGACCATTCTTCTCCATTTCCGGCCAGTTCACAGCTGGAACAACATTAAGCAAACCACCCACCGCCGGAATCATTCAAACAGTCGCGAAATCGACCTGAAACATCTCTCAAACACCACCCTCTCCACGCCAAAATCCAGTGGTAAAACCACACTTCAGCCTACCAGAACCCAGACCTCCATCACCCAAGCTAAAACAACCAGCAAATGACTACTAGACCACCAGTTCTCCGACCTCCAAACAGCCAACCAACAAAACCCGACCAAAACCTCATCGGAAAGCAACTGAAGCACCGCTAACAGATCAAACCAACAACATAATCAGGCGAGAATCAAGGCTCGAAACAACAGCCACAACTTCATATCCGGCTAGGCTCAACAAGCAAGCAATAACATAGTTTTAGATCTGCCCGCAGGAAAGCAAAATCTGATGATTGA